TAGTTGAGTGACGTGTAAATAGTAATATTCTCGTTTAATTCTTTTATCTCTTTTAATCTTTTATCTCCTGTATAACGTCACGCTATTCGTTAATTTTCAGATGAGCCCAATTTTGTCAGTTTTATGTTCATATTTGCTCCGATTTCGTTAAAAACTATTTACGGTTGATAACTATTTTACAGTTATATATTTTGTTTGAAATAAATTTCGTCGTCAAATTTTTAATGTGAATATTGATCGTTATAATTGAATTAATACTATTTCAGAATATGAGTATGACGTAGAAATGTCGATACGTTATTCAGCTATTTATTTCCATTAGAATTTGTCTTCACTGAGTCTATTCAGAAACAATCAGAAATTTGAATAAAAGAACTACCTTATAGAACAGTTAACTCGTACAGTTCTAAACCGGTACAATTGCTTGATAGCAGTCAAAATTTATCGGATCTGATAATTATAATTAATTTGATAATTGATATGTAAGCGGTCCACAGAAGCTGCGTACATATAGAACAAATAACGATAAGATTAACTATCTACGTGGCATAAACAAGTTGTTGAAAGAAAAAAAAAGAAGTATTTTCGCACTTTAGTGTTAAAAGAAGAAGGATAAAGAAGTCTCTATGTTCACAAGTTCTCATCACCTGCCCCCAGCATTATAGTGGTTGCTAGGCACCCCTAATTGTACTACATCTACTTAGAGTTAACAATATCTACTTAGAGTTAACGGGAACTATAACAAACACCGAGAGTTCTTATTGTTGTCTTGTTGTTGTCTTAATGTTGTCTTAATGTTGCCTTAATGTTTGCTTTAATGTTGCCTAAATGTTGCCTTAATGTTGTCTTATAATTTTGTCTTATTGTGGTCTTAATGTTGTCTTATTGTGGTCTTAATGTTGTCTTATTGTGGTCTTAATGTTGTCTTATTGTGGTCTTAATGTTGTCTTATTGTTGCATCGGTGTTCGTTCAAGAGTCAATACTATTAACTTTAATTACAACAGCTTCACACTCTCCTGTGGCAACTGGGGATAGGTCCTCCAGAGCAGTACCTTGATAGGAGCGTCAGGACCTTGATAGGATCGTCCTATTTGTCTTAATAATTAGTAACTCTTGGAAACGCTTGGTAACTCTTAGTAACTATAGTAACGCTTTGTAAAGCTTGGTAACTCTTGCTCGAATATTACTGACTGACATAGTCATATGACGCACATTTCAAGAACTTTATGTAGGCAGTGCGCCATCGACAGTAAGACGCGCGCGCTGACCATTGAATGGTTTTTTAGCTCTTATTTCGGCCAGCACATTATTTTGGAAACAATCGAAAAGTTATAATACTTCCCATATAACAATTTTGTTGAAATTTGGTCAGCTTACGTAAACACTTATGTTCTACTGAACCTAATTTAGTTTGAGCAATTTCGATGGTCAGAATTTGAGTTATCAAAGAATTTATACCTATTTTTTCATTTTTAGACCTCTTAATCAAGACCAATCTCTCCCAACTAAATTAGGTTCGGTGGTTAAGTATGATTGGAAGGTTCTGACAAATTTTCAGCATGATTCATGTTCAGGAACCGAAGATATGACAGAATAATATGACAAAAATCAACGAATTTCGTCAAATTACGCGACTTTTACAACTAATTTTGCTCCAAAAGCCGCGCACCATCAAATATGGCACCAAGGCGAAGCTCACTGATCATTCCAAAAAAGTATAAAAAATTTGATACTGTGAAAATTCTCACAGTCTCTAGAAAACAATGGTACAAAAATTTTGAAAATCCGAGCAAGTTTATTTTTATCGTGCACCCCCTACTTTATGCTTGATGTTTAGTTTTCTTCTCAAATTATAGAGTTTAACTTTATGCAAACGTCCTTGCGATGGAGTTCAGGGATATCAACCAGTAACCAAACTGATAACAAAAAGTAACTAATAATTACTAAACCGAAACGATCAGGCGTCTTAAAATGATATGTTGAGTTACTTTTATCATAACCACTTTCTATTCTGGATATCCCACATGCATTAATTCTAACGGTTATAACATTAATTCTCATTCATACAGTCATACAGTCACTCTATTACTGTAATGATTGAATTGATTGTAAAATATTTGTCGACATGTAGCCGCATAACATTCATAACTTATATAGCACGACATTGCTGTGAATCATACGATCTTATCATTTTCAGAAGTTGTATTGCACGCTATAATTCGTTTTCAGTTTCCTCCTTTTCATTGATCATAAAACTAAAAAGGCGGTAAGTCATGACGGATATGATACGACGGACCACTCGGGTCACCCGTACCCAAGCGTCTCAACTTACGCCTTTTTGAGAATTGTGTGCACGGGGGTGATGCAACGTCAATTAATGTCAATTAATGTCAATTAATGTCAATTAATGTCAATGTCAGTTTTGCAAAATTTTGGAATACTGACATTAATTGACACGATATTTTTCGACCAGAGATTATGTAGTTCTACCATATTTTTAGCACTTTAGAACGTTTATATCATCAATTTATTCACTACTATCACATATGGAAATGTGAAATGTGAAAAAAATTCAGATCATTAAACAATAAAACTAAAATAATACGGTTTTCCGAAATTTAATTTTCTTAAATGGGCGTGGCCATCCAAGGGCGTGGTTCTCAACATCATCAGAACTTAAAACCCACATTAAACGAAATGCCTTCATGACATTTATATTTGAATAACGAATCTTAAACAGCTAACATTACTCCTTCATACTAAAAAAGCCGATTCTAGATATTTTACCTGTATAAGAAACCAATAAAATATGGGCGTGGCCGGTGGGGACCGAAGATGGAAGAGTTGGAAGCTGAAATTTTGTTTGGTGGTCTTTGAACCTAAGGATCAACAGATAAGAACATACTCATAATTATTCAAGGACATTTTGTTTTTTTGAACCGGTCTAACTTACATAGACGTGAATATCTTGAATATTTATCGAATAATGATAATCTCAAATTTCAAGACAAATTAATGTCAATTAATGTCAATTAATGTCAATTAATGTCAATTAATGTCAATTAATGTCAATTAATGTCAATTAATGTCAATGTCAGTTTGGGGTTTTTATGGAATACTGACATTAATTGACGTTGCATCACCCCCGTGTGCACTGTGTATGTTAATGTTATGATATTATGAACACACAGAGTTATCCTATGATAATGAGCGTTGACAGTGTCTCTAAATCTAGCTAATCGTTCTAAACGGTTCCACGATAATAGTTGAACTCTAAATTTACTTAGTTTACTTTTAGAGTTTTAGTATAACATGAAGTACTTTTTGGTTATGGACCGTCTATTCAACGAATTTGTTGCATATTTACAAACGTTGCAGAATATAAACTTGAAGTGATAGTTACTGTGCACTTGAAGAGTCATGTATCAAGACCGACGAGATCGATAAAGCTGAATTTTTGATAGTTCCCGCTTGAGTTTGTACTTAAATACAGGGTGGGCCAAAAGTCAGTGTGCAAACGTTGGGTCTTATACCTCCGCCGTGTTTTATATTTGAGGGTTGTTGCTTTGCAGATGGTTTACTGTACCTACTGGTTCGAGGATTCCGTCAGCAAAATTTGAAAATTCGAATATTTTAGACCACGCCCATTCAATATTAAAACACTTATATTGTACTCTAGATGTCTAATTTTTTTCAGAGACAGTAGATTAATAAATGTTGCATATGATCTGAAAATATGAGGCAAAACGGATTAGAAATGACGAAGTTATCAATCATTTTCTGTATCTCGTTAACAAAATTAACTGGGTGATTATGTGACACCGCGACACGACACCTTAATTGGGCAGCCTTCATGATTCCCATAATGTTTAACGGGGAGGTTAACGGGGTCACCTAATCACGTGATTAGGTAAACCAATCACCTGATCACACGTAATGAATAACCTCGTTAAGGTTCATATCTCGGTCATCTGAGAAGCTAGAACCCTCATTTTTTCAGGGCAAACGTAATTTAAATGGCCAAACACAATTCAATAAAATTTGGCTCGATCCGACTATCCAAACTATCAAATAAATGCGAAAATGAACCTTCTTTTGAAAAAAATGAACACAAATATGTTTCGATTTGACAAATTTCTCGAACCAGTGTTGGTAGTAAGTCATACCAGAACAAATTATTTCAATTGGGCACTCAGTGACTGAGCTATTAAGGCCATCGTTTGCACACTGACTTTTGGCCCACCCTGTATATTATAAGAACAGTCGACGTTGTATTTAAGAAATTAAAGTTGTTCAAAATATGCCGTGAGTTGCAAATTATGTTTTGTGATTACATATTCGACAGGTAAGTTTAAGCTTTAAATATTTTCAAAGTCGCTGACTGACTCATGGAACTCTTAAATTTTGCCAACTCTAAACCGCGTCCATACTTCAACCTGCTTTTAAAATATACTCTTAACTTACTACTTTTGTAATTTTAATAGTAAAGACATCTAGTTGCAACTATGCTGAGAAAATTTGTCGATTAATATGTCAACAGTTATCTGTCCTCACATTGGATATTTTAATAAAATTATCTTCCAAATTTAATAAATACAGCTAAGTTACGTGTGCCAATGACGGTCTGACTGTCTGAGGCCCATGATATCCAGCTCGGCCTTTTATTCGCGAATAATGGTATATTTTACATCCCCAGACGGAACCCAGGCATATTTACCGCAGCTCATTGGCAAACAAAACTGTTGTTTTTTGTTGTAATATAGTTGGAGGCCAAACTGCTGCTTCGTGTCAGTTCGGCTGTTCTTTTTAGTACTAGTATCAACTACGGAGCTTTTGTTATCTTTTAACCAGTTGTATCACTCATTGATTAATCATTTATTAATCACTTAATCACTCACAGTTTTATCAGTTGATTACTCAAAATGACAATTATATATACCATGATCATGAAGCACATAAGATATGATATGGTTGTTAATTTATCAACACTTCTGTCCAGGAAGGATACCTAATGTTGTTGTGTGGTGTTAGTATTGCACTGATCATCTCCAGTACCTTACAGTCAGACTGCTCTGAAGATGATCTGTACAAACCTATCGACAGTGAACCTGGAGACTTTATAATTGCTGGAATCTTCAACGTTGGCAAGGTTAGTCTACTAGATAACGTTCAGATTGTCAGTGATACTATAACGAATACAGAATTTTAGAGACTCACCATGTACATAATGTGTTGGATCTCAGTGTGCTTGGTTCGGGATAAGTACAACACTTTTATTCAGGTGGAGACAAGAGAAGAAATGACGGCTGAAGGGAGGAAAAAGCTAACAAAGTATTGCTCGTACGATAAAGCTTTAATGTGGGGTATCCAGAAGATGCTAGCTCTACGAGATACTGTGGAGAGGGAACAGGAGCGGTTCAGGTTTGTTGTTACCATGGTAACGGTTCAGGTTTGTAACATTAGAAAAGTAATAAGTAGCTCAGTTTGAGGTAGGATGCTTAGAAATAAGATTGAGAGATTAGTGAATGTTAGTAATGATAAAAGGAATGTTACCATGGTAAAGAGATACGTTACGTCCGCTGTACAAACACTACGATTTCAGAAAACTGAACAAGACGTTGGGCTATGAAATCTACGATTCTTGCAACAGCTACACCACAGTGGGACAGATCTCCAACATCATCGCATCTAAGACAAACATAATCGGAGTCGCAGCTCCGGATTTCAAGGACTTTGTCAAATTCTCTGCACAACAAGTCACCTCCTTCAACATCCCCATGTTCACCTACGTGTACAATGATAACGAGATGATGAACGACAAGATATTCCCCTCACTTTTCTCTCTAACAGACACAGAACAGGTCGAAGGGGACATAATTATCAGTTTTTTGAAGTTGATGAACTTTAGGTATGTTGATATTTGGTATCACAAGTTCTCAAAAGACATGGCTATGCATGTTTATGAGAAATATGTCAGTACCGTAGAGTCCGGGTGTGGTAGAATTGAAGAGGTTTCCAATATTTCTCAGATTGTAAACATTGATAAGAGTTACGGGAAGTCTGGTGGAAGTAATTCAAGTTCACAGGTGCAACTTATATTGTCAAACAGTCGGGCAACAACACTTGCTATGATTGAGCACATGACAGAAAATCTGAACTTCAAGAACAAAATCTACATTTTTGGGATTTCGAATGGGAGGAAAAACTACCTCCAAAGTTATATCCCCGTATTCAAGAAAGAGCCCGGAAACACCTTAATACTACCTTTAGCAGCATTGCTAAACGCGGAAGTGAAAGTGCTGACGGAGAAACTGAAAGCGAAGGAAGCTTCTAGAAATAGCAACCTGGATAAAATAGAAGAGGATATAAGAGATAGGCTAAAGTGGTACGAGGGAGGAACCGGTTATGATAGTACGATGACAAGTTGGATGCCATATGTAGTGGGCGGGGTTAAAATACTTACCCAATCACTACATGAATATCTGGTCGAGTCATCAGGGGATATTTGTATGGATCACTTGAGAGAGCTCATCTTCGAAACATTGATAAACAGAAAAACCAAGAAGCAGGTTTTGATTGATGACGTCCTCACGATTGATTTTAGTTTGGATAAAAGAGTCGTTACAACAGGTTACGAAATCGGAGTCTACCAGAGCACCAGTGACTCATATTCCATCCTGGGAAAAGCGTTCTCAGACTCAATAACAGTGTCAAACAGCACTCTCCTGAACGAAATATCAGACTACAACCAAACCTGCTCGGAATCATGCAGACCAGGATTCTACAGCACCAGGAAATGGAACAAAAGCGATCTGTCGTGTTGCTGGAACTGTAGGTCATGTGACGCCTACTCAATCTCAACCGAAATAAACTCAGCAGGATGCACAACCTGCAAAGATGACGAAGCAGCTAATGATAACAACACTGAATGCAACGAGGTTAAGAGATATACATTGAGAGTGACTCCCCTTTTTTTATAGCAGGGGTAGTGTGCGCTGGGGCAGGGTTACTGGTGGTAATAGTGTTCGGGGTGATCGTGGTTAGGCACAAAGACAGCGCTTCCATCAGAGCTTCTGATACGGGTTATCTTTATGTCATGTTAGTGGGTCTAGCTGTTGGATTCATCACAAGTGTGGTCCCTCTGTTGAAACCACACGAGATGTCCTGTAGAGCTGAGTATTTCGGTGTTATGGCTTTCACAACATTAGTATCCACAAATCTGGCTCTAAAGTGCAACAAGATATACGAGATATTCCGGGCTGCTAACAGTTTTGAGACTCCTAGATGCGGTTGGATGATGAAGAAGACAATTCTGGTTAACTTGTTGTCTCTGCTCTTCACCCTGACTCTAGCACTACTGGATGTGTTGGTCTGGGGACCCAGCTGGATAAAAGAGAGACTACACAAACACCATAACCCTTACTATCTGGTATGCCAATCGCACGATAACCACAGTTTCTTCATCCTAATAATTCCTCTTATTTTCCCAGCGGTCGCTTTCATCGTCGCCCTAGTCCTAGCATTCAAGATGCGGAACTTCCCCCACAATTTCCGGGAAACACTGAACATATTCGCAGCAACCCTGATAGCTCTCTTGTGTTGCATTATGTTCTTAACGGGGTACTCCCTTGCGGAAAACTATTTTAAAGGTCTCCTCAGGGCTATAGTGACCTTCGTTACATCTCTCTCATTCCTTCTCTGTATCTTTCTACCAAAGATCTATTTCCTGTTCAAGAATCATAACGAGGACGCCACCAGAAGGGAGTTGAAGAATTATATTAACCGAGCCCAGACTATAGTTAACAGAGTTAGTACAAGGACTGTCTCGTCATCAATAACTTCTCACTCATAGGTTCATACGCTCACGTGACTCTTAACATGTGGTCACGTGACTTGTAACAAAGCGTGACCCTTAATATACGGGTTTTAAAAACTTTGACGAGTTTAACAGATTATTTAACGTTATTCTTTTAAAGATGAAAAGCGATGCCACATGATTTATGATGTATGTTGTCGAGAATTCTGTATAATTCTGTATAATTTTATAAATCAGCATGACTATTGCCCGCATTTTGCGGACGCTTCAGTTATTACTAATTTTATTTGTACAAACATATTCTTACAAGACAAATAAACACATAAATATTAAAACAAGGCGCATTTATTAGAAACCTGCCATTTCGAGCCAGCTCTGGATATCAAGGATGGAGTCTCTGTGACAGTATATGTGTGACAAGGCATCTTTAAACTTCCCTGCCTCCACCATGATGCTAGCTTCGTACAGCAGCAGCTCTGAGAATTCGTAATCTGCTGGTTTGCCCTGAGATGTTTTTAATACAGTGGTGGTTTTTTCAGGAAATCGGTCGTATCTTAATCAGTCAGATTCATTTAAGCGAGACAATTAATAATAATAGTTCTTTTAGTTTTTAGGATATTGGGATAAGTTTAGAAATGTGATTTAAAATTACCACAGCTCGTACATATTTAAAACTCGCATGTTTTTTTTACAATGTGACAATTTTAGGCATTAGTAACAATTTTAGGCAAAAGTATTATGATACAATGAGACACACCTCAGACCAAACCTCAGATCATGTATGAGTCGTGTCATATACCAGTAAGTTATTTGTCATTCATCAGTTAGTCATTTGTCATTTCCCAGTAAGTCATTTGTCATTTCTCTGCCCTTTCTGTCATAAACTACAAAATAGGTCAAATTATTTTGTCTCCAATAATTTCATGTCTCATTCATGCTATCAGATACAAATAGATACTGAATCGTAAGTTTTACAAACAAACAAATCTCAGAAATTCCCAAATGATGAAAGCAAGCTTCTAGATTCAGGATAGCCTGTGGCAGGCAACGCCCGATTCTTTAAATGCTTCTACAGACCTACACAAGTGCAAGTAAGTAGACCGTAAATATTTCATGCTAGGCATGTGGCACCCATTACGGTAACCATCCATTGAGTTTTTTTCTTTTTCGCTGTACTATATTGCACAGCTCCCCATTTAACCCTCACACACGATTTCTTGAGCATTCGGCTGGGTGGACCGGGAGGCTGCATAGATCCTATGGAATCCTTAGCAGAACACCCCACGACTAGGTAGACAGCGGGTTTCGATTGAAACCTTACGATTGAAAAGCTGGTACTCTAACCAACTGCGCTACCTGGCCGTGAAAATTCCCGTTAAATTCCCAAAACTCCGTAATAATCACCTCCTGCGTTTTCCTGAAGGTTTGGAGGACGTTAAGAGCGTTCTCGTATTCCCCCATGGTATGGAGGGCAATAGCGTAACCCACCCATCCGGCCCGCTGATTGGCTCGTAGCATCAACAACTGGTGACGAGTCATCTGAAACAGAATCATGTGGTTAGTATTTATCTCATTTCAAACACAAGGAAATATTTTTGGAGTTTGAATCCAGTGTGATGTATACTAGCTACTTCGGTTTTTATGAACCAACCTAGTAGTGTATACGCAGATCATGTTTGTGCGACCACATGGCATTAGTCATTCTGAATAGAACGGATTGTCGATATTAATGCTACGTAGTACACTCTTATATTGTGTAGGATAGTTATAGTGAGCACTATTTTATTTCTATAAGCGGATGTTTTGCATGTGATCAAGTTTCTTTTCTTGATTGTGCTAGTGACGTATTATACACAATACAAGATGGTTTTAAAAGTTAACTGTATCTCTGCTGGTTAATGGTTATCAAAACTATTCACACGTATCGTGTGAATTTTACGTTGAGTATTTCTATTGTACTGTTTTTGTTTTTCGTCTTTGTCGTCAATGAAAAATAAGTAGAATAGAAAATAAAAGCAGGTATTCGAATTCAGTATCACTGACAATTGACAAAACTATATCATGACATTTTATTTATTCTATGAATATGACTGTTCACTGTGCGATACCGTGAATGTAAAATTAAACTAGGAACTAGGAAGTGAATGAAAGTTTCCGTGCTTTGCGTTTCTGAATTTCATGTGCCTTGAAATCGAGCCAATATCTCGAATTAGCGTTTTTAGCTACTTTACCATTATCAACTTACAACTCATTGCTCGTTGCTATGCTAACAATAGCAACGTTACCTTGACGACGGAGCTTAAGTGATGCCAGCAATTTGTAGCTCAGTGTGAGAGTAGGTTTGTTTTCCTTGTCTAAAATATTTGTATTGAATTCCCTCATAACTCGAACAAATGCACCCTGCTCCTGGTGCACCACAAAATTGCTTGTTCAGTGTAAGTAACACATTTGATTTTTTTAAATTGGGAACCAGCTTTGTTTACTGGTTAATGTTTACTCAAGAATTTATACATACAATAATATACAATAATTATATACCTAAATCTGCTAATATAAAACCAAAATAACTCTAAGAATATACACCGCATGAAATTATGGACCTGGAAGAAAAATTAAATACTTCAGCTTAATGCACAAATCAAAATAAAATTCTAGAAGACTAACAGTCTTGTGTTGAAAGACGAATATGAAGCTTATCAAAAAATTAAAATCTTAGCGAACCAAGAATCCATACATCCAAACAAAACTCTGTCTTTACACATTTCAATCAACAATTTTGTCCACACTACACACTTTGATGAAGTGTCTCTTATCTGGCTCGTCGTTCGATCTCTTCTTGAGTTCTAAAACAAACTTTTGCTGTTCGGCACGTTCCTCTGGAGACCTATCTGGACTGATAAAGACTTTACAGAAAAGTTCCGAGCTACGGAGATGCCTTGCTCTAGTCAAAATCTGCTGCACGATTGTGGAGCTCGTCAAAGTCACCTTAACAGGTCTATCAGCCACATGTTTCTTAAATCCTTGGGTTTATTCAAACCAATTCTGCTAGCTTCTATTTTTGGCTTTTCACCATGTTCCAACAACACTTGACCGACTTTGTCACATAACAGCTCACCTTTCTCTTCTGTAAGACCAAATAACATCAGATTTCGACTTCGGTCTCCTTATGCTACAACATCCTTAATGACATTCTTAAAGATTTTTCTATCCGAATCCAACAAAGGACCTGCTGCTGAGGTTTTTGATTCCTTTACCGCGGCGCTGTATGTCTTTAACTCTGATTTCACAGTATCCTCAACTGATGCTACAACCATAGATTTCAAGTCATCAAGCCTAGCTGCTTGTCCTTGGTAGCTCTTTCTGCAAATCAACTATTGAACCCTGACTGTCAATTACATCGGAGTGTAATTTCTGGTTATACTTTTCTATCTCATCAATGTACAATGATTGTCTATACATAATCTTCAACGCAGCATTTATACTCTGAGCCATGACTTCTCTAGTGATTTCTCTTTTACCATTGAAACTTTAAAAAGTACACGCGTTTACATGATCTGATTTAGTAAGCCCGAGAGTTTTCCGGATCCATTCAGCTCCATCATCTCTCACTTCATCAAGCTTATAAGCCTTGTACTTTTCCGATTTATACATCATACAACCACAACACCGGTTAAACAAGCAAGTCTTATCAACGTAATGATAAGTAACTGATAAGCGGCATTGGTATTTGTCTTTGAAACTAGATTACATTAAACCAAGATTCTCTTATCAGACACACATCGTGTAAGTAACTTATCCACGCTTATAAACAGAATATATATATCATTATATATATTAGTGTAAGTTTTTGTAGACATGGTCCTCTAACATGCTACTACACTACTAGAGTACAGTACACCCATCCGTGTTGAATTGCGAGTAATTAGCCTAGTGTAGGATGTGTGGATAAGCAGATTTAGGCAAAAGTAAGAGCTTGTACTAGTGCTATATACATTTCTCATTTACTGGGTGTATCTGTTACATGCCATTCATTGGCATGCCTCGTTGGTTGTATTTGTTGTGTAATTTATTGCTCTGAGCTTGCTCATAATGTCTGTTTTCTGGGTACATCTATTCTACATTCTTCTCTATTCTCCCTCGTAGACAACAAATTAACGGTATAATTTATCATTACATTTCCTGCAGATGTTTAGTAACAAAGTGGACGATGCTATCGTCAGCAATCTGGAAACCGTCTTACGAGAGGAGTATGGTTTCTCGGGTAGTCTTGCAAACATAAAGTTCAGCAACAAGACAGAGAAAGCGTTCCCTCAGCTGATTGAAGCACTAACACAACATGCTGCACTAACAGAAAATGCTGCACTAACAGAACATGCCAGCTCTGCTCTGGACATCTCACTGGGTCCCTCGGACGAGGACTGTACCCCGCGGATTGGGGACTCAGCCTACGTGTACTGGTGTGGGTACGGGTGGTTCACAGCCACCATAAAGACCTGGTTACCTGACGAGTTGAGCTACATGATCAAGTGGACTGACGGAGACTGGGCAGCTGAGAGAGCCATCTACACTAACTTGTGTGTGGATAGGGTGCCTGATCCGGCCACTATTGGGGTGGGAACCAAGGTGCTCTTCAAACAAGGTCTCTTCTACTGTGGGTATAATGATGATGGTTCTGTTTGTGATAGCACGGGAAGGACCCTGACTGAGGAGAAGAAGCAGGAGATAGCAGGTCTCGGTCAGATCTCAGACCGGTGGCACATGGGCCGGATAACAAGTGTGACTGAGAACGACCAGGGTAAAACAGTGTACAACGGTGCCCACGTTGAGAGTGGAGATGCTCAACTCTCCAACCCTGACTATGTAGGATACAGCGCCTCCTTCCAGGGACTGAGACTCAGTCAGTTGAGAACCCTACCTAATGTGTTCAACTGTATAGACTCCACTCCCTCGGAGCCTATCAGTGCTAATACAGATAGTGGAGGGAGTAACACTGTGTTATGTGACGTGTTTGTGTCTAAAGTGGCGTCTGATGACTCGCCAGTTCAGCGTATAACAAGGAAAATCCAGAACAAGTTTAGAGTCTCGGAGTCTTGCGGAGGGACCTCCTCAGATGTGATCCAGCGAACAGTACAGCAGATCAAAAGCTGCTCGGTCTACTTAGTGTGCCTCAGTGATAGCTTCATAGAGGACACCCAGGCCATGTCTGAGCTGCTGTACGCTAAGAAGACCCTGGGTAAAACAGTGATCCCAGTGGTTATAGGGAGGAGTGGTAAGTGGATGCATACCACAGCTGGTATGTTGCTGGCAGGACAGCTGTATATACAGTTTGGTAGTGATGATGTGTATGATGAGAAGATGGGTGAGCTGCAGAGTAACCTGGAGAAGCTTGTTATATCTGATTTTGGTGGAGCAGATTCGGTGACCCCGGATATAAAGTCAGGTCCTCCACCCAGAGTGTTCCTATCTTACTGTTGGAGCAACTCAAAGTCTTCATTTGAAGCGGGACAACTGAAAAGTTATGTGGGCCATGAGTTCTCTGATCCTAGGAAAATAAAAGCAGATATAGAAGAAAGGATCGGAGAAAGAGTTTGGCTGGATATCGAGCAGCTTAACAGTGTGAATGACTCTGGAATGTTCGGCCAGATCGCTGAAGGACTGAAGGATTCCACCATTGTAGTGATGTGTGTTTCAAAGGAATATACTCGTAGTCAGAACTGCCAGATGGAAGCGAGCTTTGCTTTGAGATCGTTGCACAAGGAAGCTATAGTGCTTGAAGTGGGGAGTGGTGAGCAAGCGGATAGGACTGCTTGGGTAGGTAGCAGTGTCGGGATGGTCCTGCCGACCGAGCAAGAACCGTACATTCTAACTGCCGATCAAATCAATAGTCAGGATAGCTACAACGAGATTATCGACCAGATCTGCGGCAAATTAAAGGAGGGAGCACTCTCTGAACCTCTTGAAGGTAAAGCAAAGACACGTGAAAGTAAAGCAGAAACCAGGTTCACAGAGAGTGAAAGCTTACTTCGTGCTTCTGTCCCTATGGTTGGAGACTCTGTTATCGCCCACTACGCTGCTTGGCAGTTCTTCCCTGCTAAAGTAGCCAGTTTCAACAAGGCTGTCATGATGTATACCGTGGACTGGGAGGATCCAGATCCAAGCTGCAGAGTTCAGACTTACACTTTAGTAGCAATGAATACCATGGCAACAGATGATCTTATAGGGATAGGATCCAGTATCTTGTTTAAACAAGGGGTGTACCAGCACGGTGGGTCTACTGGAGATATCTGGAACCTGGGTGAGATAACTGAGGTTGTGGTGGAGGATGGTGTGAGGTATTACTCAGGTAAACACTCTAAAACAGCTGAGGATGGGCTTGCTGTGGCCACTTGGCCGAGCTTTAGACCTACCTTCGAGCGAGCTGAGAGTCATGATTTGAGACTGTTCCCTAATGCTATGGAAATGTTACAGGCTTACAAAAACCTTTAGTTTGTTGAGACGAACAGTAATATTTGTAGTTTTAAATACAATCAGATAACTGGTACAGTGTGTACTTGAACTTGTTCCAAATGTTTAATCTTGCTTAGAAACTGTAAATTGTAACCAGTATTTAAGCAAGAAAGATTTCCATTCGATTAAATTACAACGAATATGTTTAGAATTATGTGCCAAAAGTTATTCATTAAACTATTTAGACTTTTGTACAGGTAAAGATAAGTTAGAAACTGCTATGCTCAATATTTGATGCTGTTTCTATTATATGCTTTTTATAAGTATGTACAAGTAGTTACGTTAATAGTTGGCAACACTTATTTGTTAAATGACAATGAATCAAACCAAATTTGTGAGATTAAGTGTTAATAACACATTAAGTGTATGATAACTTAGGACAATTTGTTGAGCCGTACTGCGTTTGAGGAAATTTAACAAAGAATATAACATACATACCAGCAAAATGTAGTAGTGAATTTGCTAATCAACCTGGAAATTAATAATAATCTCCGGGAACCGGTCACTGCGGCGGAAGTCACTGCGGCGGTGGACGGTACAGCGGAGGACGGTACAGCGGAGGACGGTACGGCGGTAGTTTTCAAAAAGGTTGGACGGTACGGCGGATCACCTGACACCCACTTTACTTTGGACAGTACGGCGGTACTACTACTAGAAACTGTACCTAAGACAGAACTTACACATTCAACTTGTTTCTAAGTTTTGTTCTAGATTCGCATTATAAGTTTTATTTTTTCTTTTCTCTTTATCATTTTGTATAATTCTTGTTAGTTTAGTTGTTCATTTTTTTTATTCAGGGCTTTGCAGACAATGTAAATCGAGAATATTGAGTTGTTGAAAATCAAAAAGTTAATATAACTTGACACACTCAATAGCAATAATATCTAAATCCCACAAATCATTATCAAGAAGTTACAGCAATCAATAATTCACATAACACTTCTGAGTAGATCCAGGTAAGTCAAGACATCATCTTCGTAAGAGTGGTAGTTCTGCACGATGCGGTGAATCCTCCTGTCCTTGTCACTGTGAGCTTTCTTCCTCTTTGGTGGGTTCTCTCCGACCAGGTAGGCTGCGTGCTTCCCATCTGTTGAACTCTGCTCCATCTGAAGTGCTGTGATGAAGTCTCTGAGCTTGCTTCTTCACCGCTTGTTCACTGGGGAGGAGGAAGCGAGCAGTCTGGGACAGCGAGCCAGTAACGGAGCTGTAGATTCTGTGGTTCTGAGTAATCGTAGTCGCAGCCAGATCGTGGACTTGGGAGAGGGTTTCTCGGACTTCGCAGTCAGCTATGTCGGCACTGTGGTTTGATCCGCTTTATATACTGTTTGCCTCTATCATTATCTACGTTTCACTGAGCAACTTCTCTTCTTGGCTACGGTTGATCAGATTCCTGGATGCGATCCCTCGTGACGTGTTCTCATGCCCTTGTTATTACCCATTGCATCTCGGCGCAGTGATATGAGATCTCACCGTAACAAGCTCATCATGCAATCGCTTAACCACCGTTGTGCAGACCGGACGCGATATGATACGAACCAGAAAGTGGAACAAGAACTGCTTTTAGTAATCACAATGTATATGTTAAACTTTATCCAATTTAATTTTAATCAAAATTAATTTCGAAGTAACAAAGAGGAAAATAGAACTTTTTAAAGCTAATCGATTTTGTTATATTAGCAGTGCTAGGTCTATCTTATAGGTACAGTTTCTAGTAGAAGTAGTACCGCCGTACTGTCCAAAGTAAAGTGGGTGTCATGTGATCCGCCGTACCGTCCAACCTTTTTGAAAACTACCGCCGTACCGTCCTCCGCTGTACCGTCCTCCGCCGGACTGTACACCGCCGCAGTGACTTCCGCCGCTGCGTCCTATACCCTAATCTCCAATAACTATACCTTGTATCCATCCAAGTCTCTGGTCTGTATCTGTAACAAGGACAGATCCCTTAATATCTGGAGATTGTCTTTGTCCCACTTCAGTGCGTTCCGGTAACATTTTATTGCTTCCTCATACTTCTTATCAGATCTGTAATCAAAATACATTTATATATTGAAAGCACTTGCATCATTTTATTATAATATTCCCATTTCAGTTTTTTTCACCAGTTATTTGCTTCGTTTTACTTTGTCTGTCAAGAGCCTTATAAACAATTACACCGTTTTAATCTCACGCTCGGCGTTACGACTTACGAGTCGAGATCTATGCATACCAAACAATCACTATTTCACAAAAGAATACGCCGGAATAAGCCATAAATAGTTTTGAGAATATTCCCTTTCAAAGTAAATTGTTTCCTACCTCTGAAGGAGTCCGAACACGTGCCAACAAACGTGTGAACGGAGATTGTTGCGGAGTCCTCGCTTCACATTGTCATACGCCTCGTCCTTCCGACCCAAGCAGTTCAGGGTGAGTCCCATCATAGCCAGTGTTTCTGGGGGGATGTCAGGTCAACAACAAAAAAAACAAAAAAATATATCTCTTTGACTCGGAAGGAAATTATTAATAGTGAATACGCATTGAAAGCAAAATTGAAAAATAATTGTGGAGTGTAGGCAGCGCAGGGGTCCGGACTCTAGGGCGTAAGACTCTAGGGCGTAAGACTCTAGGGTCTTAGGGTTAGGGTTAGGGTTAGGGTTTGGGTTTGGGTTTGGGTTAGGGTTAGGGTTAGGATAATTATAAGGGTTAGGGTGATGGTTAGGGTTAGGGCGCCGCCCTAAAGTCTCACGCCCTAGAGTAGTCTTACGCCCTAGAGTCCCGGACCCGCAGCGCAGCGAAATCCGAATTGTAATTGATAATAAATTCAGTATTTAGTAGTGATGGTGATGATCACGGCTATGGTTATTACTCATAACTGGAAAATCAGTAAGATATTATACCTCCATGTTCTTGGAACTTGGAATTAGATAAGATCTGACGAGCATGCTTCAGTCCAGATTTGTACTGCTTGTTCTCGTAACATTTCTGAAAATGACATGAAATTAAAAAATATTAGCTATATTTGCAATTGAGGTATAACCAGACAGGGGATATTGTAAGAAATATTAATGGGGACCTGTGAAATTTGTAAATGAAATGGTGATTTTTTTAAATAGAGAAAAATAAAAAGTGTCAGAAGTGGGATTTGAACCCACGCCCACATTCGTGGACCAGAATGCTCATTCGTACGAATGCAAGATTACTCTTGAGTCTGGCGCCTTAGACCACTCGGCCATCCTAACATGATTAAACCATCGAAAATAACCATATATATACATAATACTCAACACCATTTTCCGACTTCTGAAAATCGCTGCACTGGTTTGTTGAATGTTTATTAAATCGACCACAAAGTTTAGGCAAATTCGGCGGAAAATTTTTGGCAAGAACTTTCGCCGAATCAAATTTGGCATTTCCGACACGCAAAATGATGCAAATGCTGCGCTTTAAATATATCCCAACTACAATTTGTGCAAAGCGCGTCACTGACATCATCTTCCTTGCGCGCGCAGCGGTTGCGACAATCTCAGAACATATGGTACGTGTGGAAATGGGTAAGTTGTGATTAAGTGATGGGGCTATTGACTCATTAAGCTAATTACTACCATTGAAATAATTGAGGTGATCTTTGAAAAATTTGACCAACATTTATAAGAATCAATTGTGATACAGTAAATTTATCATACAACTTTGATGCTTGAAATAAAAGGAGGACGATTAAATGTTTGCACAGTAAATTAAACATCCGAAAACAAAAGGACACAAATATCAAGGATGTTTTAACTTACTAGTATACGTTTGAAGAGCGTATTTTCACGTGGAGGAAGATCTTTGGCCATCATTAGGGACTCTTTACTGCATAGCTGGGTTAAAATCGGGAGGGTTATTAACGAAATTAATGGTGAAAGTATTTTACCTCAACACCAATGCATCATAATTAAAAGGGGCTAATATATTATAAATATGTATTTTGAACCGCTAAATTTAAGTAGTTGCATTCATTGGTTTTAAATCAATCAACAAGGGAATTTTTACCCAACAGAAAATTAAAATAGAAACTTGAGCTTTACTTGTCAGAAAAGTCCGAAGATATTTTTTCTCAGATCTTACTTCAAATTTGACAGCTAGTTTAATGGTGATAAGATGCATATTCATTATTTAATCGATTGTATGACTAGATCAATAAACAGCAGCTCTCAAAACTTGAAAATACAAGTATAACAATATTTACAAAAATTAAACTCAATCAACTGCCACAACAACTTCACTGGTTATATTGTGATCCTAACTATTAAGGAGTGCCGTAGCATTTTTAGTATTTATTCGAAGAAAATCTTATGATGAAAAATTAATTGGCACCCGACTGAAATCCCTTGAGTCGAAAAAAAGAACTCAAAATTCAAATTAGCATTAAATTAATAAAGAGATAAAAATGAAGCTTAATCGCTCTCAGACGATTCTTCTTCAGCCTCTTTCAACCAGACAATAAACTTAGCAATGCTACTCTGTATATCATCGTCAGCACTATCACACCACTCCAGAATATACGACTCATCTAAAACATCCTCGTTATACAAAATATGCAAAATTTTCTGAGTGTCTGGAATCCTTGATTTTTCTAATGCCCAAGTTTCGATTTCGTCTAAAATAACCATCTGCGAGTCTCTGTCCTTAGCTAACTTGATAAACATGGGACCAAAATATCCCACATATTTTGGGAATTCCTTGATTTCGGGACAAAGTTCCAGTAGTGCTCTTGTAGAATGCATCAACTGATCCGCCACTGAGATATTATACGCGTGCTTACTCGCATTAACTTCAATCAGTACATTATCAATATCCTTCTGTATAGCAAACCCAGCTTTGAAACTATCACACACCTCCCCATAGAACCCTACATCAGAATCTGGTTCAGGATCGCTGGGTACGGGCGTGGAATCCGAACTATCTGATATCTCATCAAATTCACTGCAATCTGGATGCCTGACATACCACTTTCTATTGAACTCCGCTCTCTCCATATCCCCCTCCTCATCACTACTGTTATCTTCATCACTCCGGTATATAACACCCCAGTGATCCGCTCCCAGCACGTCTGTTTCCGAGATATTATCCGGGTCACTGCACCGTGTATCCTCACTGTCGTTAGAACACTCAGAGTCATTGCGCATGTGCCTGGGCCCTGCTACTGTGACCCTTGTACCTGCCTTGAGAACTGTGTTGGGTCCTACAACTGTATCGTAGGACAGGATGCACCCAGCGGAGACGGTGGTGCCTTGTTTAACTGTAGCGCCACTACACAGCACCGCACTATCAATCACACAGTCATCCTTTATCGTTACTTCGTCCCAGATATAAGAGTTAGTTATCTTAACATTAGCACCAATCTCACATTTCCTCCCTATAACACAGTCCACTATATTAGTGTTCCTATCAATAGTAGTTTCTGAACCCACTATAGTGTTCTGATGAATGACAGCCTTGTAGGGACGCACTGAGTTAGGTAGATATACTCCCCGTCTCCTGTAGATGTACTGGTCCTCGGGTGGGCTGTTGTTATCAGGAACCACTGGGTAAGTCCACCTGTTGATTATGTCGTGACTTACTGAGGCGTAAGTGCGTAAGTTACTGACCCGAGCTGCGTAGCTGTGTTCTAGGATGTGGATGTAGATTGTTTCGTTGCACATTTCTTCGTCCACGATGATGCCTTTTATGAAGGAGTCCATGTCTTGGATGTCAAAGTGATCGGTGAATCGTGAGGGGACATGCGCCTCGCAAATCATAACATATGTGTTCATCAGATCGTATCTGAAGTCCATTACATCGTGATTGTTGAACAGCTCGAGATCATAATCAAATCTTTTAGAGTTAGCGTTACGGAAGCGGAGGAGGCGGTTTGTATCAGGGTTCATACACACTACCACATCATCCTCCAGACCTCTTGTGGGGTGCCCTGGCATGACTTTCTTGAAGATACAAGTCATGATAGCATCTTTATCCTTCTCCTTGGTTGCTTGGTGAGTCTCCATAGCTGCTCGCATATCCATGTTGGATATCATGTCTCCTGTCACCAAGATAAAGGGACCTCGTAACACTCCTTCGTCACTTAACTCCCTCATAGCATCTCCCAGACTGTTACATTTGTCTGCGTTCATCTTCTTGTTCCGTATTGTCACCAGCTCGTTCCGGTCCATGTATCTGCTCTCTGAGATGTGCTTGTCAATGAGGGTGCCGTGCGCGCGCGACAGGATTATCAGGTCGTGGAAACCATTACTGATGAGGTGCTGCAAGCAGTAGTCTATCAGGGGTTTGTTAGCCAGGGGGAGGAGACAGCGGGGCTTTTCAAGGGTGATGGGTTTGAAACGGGAGTTGAAGCTGTCAGCTACTATTACAGCTTGTCGTGGGATATTGTCGTTTGCAGGCATTCTCATGACTACCTGGATATAGTGTTGTTTCTTGTTAATTTAAACGGATAATTTAAAGCACACATGAACTAAAATCATACTAAATAAATTACGACAACTGTCGTTGTAATCGTAAACAAAGCACCTTATACCTTCGTATGTAAAGGATAAACGTCTTCCAAAACCGATAAGGTATTAACAGTGCTTCTTAGTGAAACATAATATGTTATTGATTATAACTTGACGTAAATGTAATATTTGCTGCCGATAATATTTTATCATAGTTTTAAAATCTGATGTATCTGAATGTAATTTTACGAAGTATAGGGTATCATGGAGTACAAATAATCGCACCGTCTTGACTGGTTTTTACCCCATTTGTTAAAAAGCAGTGATACTTCAAATGATTCCCCAAGAGGTTATGTAAAATAAATGGCAACCAAAAATGAACGAAACTACACAGTACAATGCACATATTATTATGAACAGATGAATTATCGTAAAATTAGGAGAAATTTAAATTATGCACAATATGTAGGGCGTATACGTAGGCTTTCGAACAATAAAGATTGTAAAGAGTCTTTAGAATGTCTGAGACCCTGTCAGAAAGCGACTAATTATAAATATTAAATGTACCTTTTATTGCTAAGTTTATGTAATGGAATAATCATTTACTTTAACCAATAAATATGTCATACATCAAACAACTGATAACTTACTATTGTACTATTGTATTATATAATTTCTACAAGCATAAAATACCGTAAACTAATTCTTTAATCTACTGGTGCTTAAATTTAAAATTTTCAACATAATTTTTAATACGTAAGACAAAGGAAGTTCATAGACACCGCAAACCGGTTGCGAATTATAAAGAAATCAATAAATGTTACCCCCTAAAAAGGAGGAAATTCAACAGCTAGAGATACCGAATATCAAAATATCTGCACTAATTTTAGCTACCGAGTAATTACTAATTAGTAATTAGTAATTAGTAACTAGTAATTAGTAGCTGTAATCTGAAGGGAGGACGGTAGATACATGTTTCTCTCCGCGAACGTTTGGTAGTAAACCTGCGTTGGGAACCACATTCCAATGTAGGGAAATTGTCGTGTTTGCTCCTCTCATGTTGTTACCTGAATAAGTGGTGTAATACGGGGGGGGGGGGGGGGGCTAATTACTAATTACTAATTAGTAATTACTAATAACTAATTAGTAACTCTCATATTGTTACCTGAATAACGGGTGAAATACTCCATTATGTGTGTCGATGTTATTGGTTACAGTATTTTATATGTACGGATTTAGCGAGCGGCAAATTTGAATGGGCAATCAATATTAATAAAAGTTTTACATAGTTACATGCTTGATATCGTAATAAATATGCAGGTTCCAAAATCTTTCAGTACTCTATTTTGACTGATGGCTTAATAACACGTGGATATAAAAGTGAGACATACCATCGTCGAAGAAGTAATATTTAGTCCGGAGGTTCTTGAGGTCTACTACTGGGTTATCTCCTCTCATAACTATTTTATCCCACAACACAACCTGGACAGGGTTTGCTAAATTCAACAAATTTGAAAAATTAATTTATAGTCGAATTTACATTTTTAAATTATCAATCAATTATTCACAATTCTTCCATTTATCGTACAAATTTCTAACCTGATTAACAATGTTCTTCTCGTTAGAGTACTCCACGACCAAATACAGGAATATCATCTTCACATTCCAATGGAATGAGTCGGACATGTCGATCTTGAGGTCGTATCTAAGGAGAGTTAGGTCCAGGTACTCTCTTTTTCCTGACATGTGATCAGGCTGGTATCGTAACTGGGCATCGTTTACCTGAATCACAGCGGGGTTATTTGAAGTTGATTATTTTAGTAGTGACTAGTGATACTACTAAAATCCTACTAAAATCCTAACCGAACACCAGTTTTATCTTTTAAGTTACTTGATTTACAGAGTAAAACTGTTCGTAGAAAGATTGTAGAAGCGATGTTTATATTGAGATTAAGTCCTGAAATGAATGATCGTTCTGAGTTGAGTTATTTGTACAAATATTTAGTCGATATTTAACTAGTAAGTAATGTATTGATAGGACTATCTTGGATAGTAACCATGACAACCTAGTTATCGTTGCTTAAGTGCTGAGTTTATCAATAGTTTTGACACATGAATTGTGAATTCTGTTCAACCAGTTTTACGTTTACTAATTAGTATAGTATCATGAGTAGTACAGTATTTAGTTGTATTAGCTTACATTTCTTCTTGTCGTATTTTTTTTGTTGTTTTGAATTTTTTCAATTACATTTTTGGGTCATATTTCGTAAATTTTATTTCTCTGTTTTTGTTTGAATGTTATTTTAAATTTCTTTCCGTCGTTAATTTTACACATGTTTAACAATTTTATTACAGAACTGAAGAAGACGTAGTTACGTGGAATGATTATTTCTATTCAATAAAGTTTCTAGCTTAAAGTCTGCTGCTTCAATTTGTTCGCAAGTTAAGAGTGTAAAGAGAAATTCTCCAAGAGAAATCGACTAGTGATACCTTAGTAATTTAAGAAATTTAGTCTATTTGTAGTTGATTGTAAGAGATAGAGTTTCCTATAATTTGTAGTTGATTATTTAAGAAGTTGAGTTTTCTATTTGTCTACAAATAAGTGAGAGTAAAAAAGGTTTTTAATTTTGTGAGTTAGCTGTAAAAAATGTTTATCGTCACAGTAATGAACTAACCTTGAAATCGAATTTAGGTTCAACAGGAAGGTGCATGGTAGAGATGAACAACATTCCCGTACATATAGCCAACACTGACAGAGAGTTTGCCAGGATGACATTCGCTCTGGACGTTAAGTTATTCATCCTAGGAGAAACGGGTTTGGGTAATGGTGGAACTGTATCTTCAACAAGCAGCTAGATAGTAACCATGGTAACCACACATAGTAACCAGAGTGAATATTTTAAATGAGAAGTTTTTTTGGGGAATTTGAACGATTTTTGTCAAGTCATTGAAAAGGACTCTTTCTAAAAGGATGATTATTTAACTATTTAATAAAGATTATTACCAACAAATTTACACAAAAAGTCATAAACAATTACATCGAAATTATCAAACACCCGAAAACTTGAGTTACAGAGCTTCTTATTAAATTAATAAACTTTAGAAACACTGAAGAATACTTAAACTGAAAATGCAACTAGTTTAACGTGAAAAGTGAAAACTAAAAACCAGATTTAATGATTAATTAACTTTCAAGATCATGCCAAATCAACAGCCCCCTCACAAAAATGTTTTATCCGAAGAGTTCGCATATGCCATCCTAAACTCGCTCCCAGAGACTGTGACGAACATCCTCTGCAAGCAATCTCGTGAGGCAGGAGACGGATGTTTGGTGACCGTCTGTAAGATGTACTCTCTACCAATGGGTAAAGGGAATATTGGTATCTGTCTAGGATGAGCCGGAGTGGGCGATGTTCTAGAAGCTGCTGCTTGCTGGGCGTGGAACAACCGCTGTAAAACACTGCCCCAGGCACTGCGAGAAGCTCCCACTACCTCTGCTTCTGATGATATCAGCTGTTCAAACAGAGCTTCTTCGTTGATAACAGGCTCCGGAGCAGCAGCAACTTGTTGGGAGGACAGTTTGGGCCCTTTTATATTTCTTCTAGTCCTGCGCTCTAGTTCTGACATCTTCCTAGGGGGTTCTTCTGATTGGGTGGTTTGAGATTGATGAGACAGTTTGTTCTTGATTGAATGATATTTTGAGGCGAGGAGCTCACAGTCGTAGATATCTGAGACCATTTCCTGGTAAATATCGGTATCTCCACTCGTGTAACGACGAAGGTCCTTCAGTTTTTGGAGTAGTTTATCAGTGCCTTCCTTGATAAAGTATACATTACTGTCAGGGCATTCTACGATTCTATCATATGCTGCGTGAAGCAAAGATGGCATGAGGAGTGTTGCAACTGTTCTCATCTCAGATTGGATGAAAAAGTGCAGGATCCTCTCAGCTTCTTTGGTGTCATCAAACAGTCGTTTCTGTTGCCATATTGGGATAGGCTTTGCAACATACCAAACTTCTTTCCACGCACTTTCTTTTGACATACGGGCGCTTAGGTGTCCCCCATAAACGTCTGGATCAAGAGGTTGTTCATGTTTTATGGCACTTGGTGGTGGTTCCGGAGGGTTTTCTGTTTCCAATGTTTCTTCATCCTTTGTTTCCGAATGAGAATCCATTTCCTCACTCTTTTCTGCAACTTCAGAGGGTTTGATTGGAGCGTCTTTTTCCAAATTCTCAGTATTGTCAGGTGACATCATTCTGTCTGATGCTTCACTTACACTCTGGAAAGTGTGTTCTTCAGCATCTACGAACTCATCATCAGAGTCGTCACACACAGAAGATCTTACCTGGTTCACAACTCCTCCTCCTTCTTCCTCTTTGCCTTCCTCTGAAGTCATAGACTCGTCCCCATCTAAGAAAGACTCAGTTGGTTTTGGAATGTCTTGATCATCCATTTTTTCGTCAATTTCATCAGAAGGAATGGCAACATCAACATCCGTCGGTGACACCATTTCATCAGAAGCTTTATCACATGATTCCATATCTTCGGTTGGTTCAGCAAGTTCACCGATCTGTTCAGAGAAATCATCCATTGGTTCATCAACCTTCTCAGAATTCTTATCTTCAACACTTTCCTCATGATCAGCATTTCCTGCAGCATCTAAATCAGCTGGTTCATCAGAACTTTCATCTCGAACAATCTCCTTCTTTTCAGTATCTTCTGCCTCAGTCGGGTCATCAGCACTACCCGAACTCTCACACTCAACACTTTCGGACTCCTTTTCAGTATTTCCTGCAACATCTAAATTAGCGAAACTTTCATCAGCATCTAACTCGTCCTCTTGCTGCTGCTCTTCATCCCCACTTCTGTCAGCTGCTTCAGCTAAGTCAGGTACTGTGTCTTCTGGTATAAGAGGTCGAGTGATGGGAACTGTGATCCAGTCTCTGGGTGAGTACCAACGAATAAAGTCTTCTAGTCGGCAGTTTGGATTAGCAGCTTTGAAGGCCTGAAAATAAATTTGAGTTCGTTATCAAAAATATTGACCTAGAACTACTTATTATATCAATCATATATTTTGAATGGTGGTCAATCAACAGTCCTAAAAATGATATGGAATTTCACACGTTTAAATTTCCCAGTAAGGAATTAAAACGATAATCCATCAGTCCAACTAACCTGCATGTCAGATAATAGAGACAAGGAATGTAGCTCAGTTCGGAGACGGGACCCTTCAGCACTGGAACCTAACTTAGCCAGCGCATCCATGTGTTCCTCCTGCATGTCTTCTGTCATGGGGGAGTGGCGCTGTGTAAGAGGTATTCTGAGCTGTTGTCCAGTCAGTAGCAAGGTTAGAGTCTGGTGATCTGACTCGTGTTGGTGTGCTGCCTCCCCTGATGCAAACAGCACACTTCCTGCAATAATGAGCTGGTTTTAGTGTGCTTTTTATTTAGTTCAGAGGCTTTAATGATACACTATACAATATACAATATACATTATACACTATATAATACAGAGGCTTTAATGATCGGATTTCAATATTCAATAACGCTTCCAAACTGGTAATTAAAACCCTTTTTAGAGAAATACTAATAGTTTCACTGACATGTAAAACTAAAGAAATAGATTATGGAATACCTCGCTCTATTTTCTGCTTGATGCAAGCATTGAGCATCTGAATCTTCTGGTGTAAGAGAGATAAAGCTGGGTCGGGTTGGGTGCTAGCCCCGGGGATAATCTTACCCTTTTCGTAATGAAATCGTAGCTGTTCTATTATACACCTGAAAAGGGCAGTGAATAACTTTAATGTTTGGATCTTCTTTAATAACAAAACCGTTTAACGTTATACTAGCATTATTCATCAGGGGTTAATGAGATTGGGTGTCAGGAGCTGGGTGATTGAATTGCAGGGCGGTGGAATGTGGCTGCTTGCCAGTTGCAGAGTTATACACTATACATTATACACTATACAATATACAGTATACATTATACACTATACAGCCATGTATAAGCAGGGTCTAAAATGACATCATGTGTAAAAGGGGTCATTCATAAACGAAAACTCAGACTCAAATTGTGAGATAATCTTAGATTTTGAGATCAAATTCGCTTTTGGTATTCGTAAAGTTAAGTATTTGCTGGCTGAGTATTTTGTCGCTAGTAAATGCTCAGAGTTGGAACTAGCACTCAAATCGGTATTCATAAAGTTAGTATTTACTCGTCACCCAAAACTAACTCAAGATTAGTATTCATAAAGTAAGCAAATGATCAAAACTCATGCTCAAAATGTGAGAACCGAATTCACATTCTCAAATCATTTTCTCACCTATTTCTCAACGACTTTTAACGTCAATAACTTCCCTTCTAATTGATATTTTCACTTCAAATTTTCAGGGACGACTCCTCACTGCCAGTACAAAAGCTCTAATATATTTTGTCCCGATTGGATGACGTTTTTGCAAATTTTCCCAGAAAAATAAACACGTTAGAGTATAAGCTTGGTATAAATCCTCCCCCATCCGCAGAACTATCAGGATGTGGATCACATGAATCGGGGTCATTATCATTATTATCCCGTTCATCAGTTTCATCATCCTCCCAGTCATCCCCCAGGTATTTCCCTACATTGTGCAGCACACAGCATGCTATAATAAACTTCGGAACCATTTCAATACTCACACGGTTAGGGACACGCAACATTTGAAAACGAGACTTTACTTGCCCAAAACTGTGTTCTACTGTCGATCTATCCGAAGTTAGAACATCGTTGAATGCTTTTTTTGCGGGATCAGTAGCAGTTTGTGCTGCGGGAAATGGTTTCATGAGAAAAGGACTTAGTGTATACGCACTGTCACCGATAAGCAAACACCTCCCACTAACACCTGTTGATAAAGTCCGATAGGCTGCTGAGTTTCTCCATATTCGAGCGTCATGAACTTTACCAGGCCAAGAAGCATCAACATCCAAGAATTTGTAGTCAGCATCGCAAATCGCCTGAACGTTAAAGCAGTGAAACTTTTTCCTACCAGAGTAGTACTGTTGAGGGTTGTGTCGTCGAGGTGGGACTTGAACCTTAATCAAGCAGCCGTCTACGGCCCCAAAGCAGTATGGGAAACGTTTTTTCATCGCCCAGAATTGAGCCGCTTGATTGAAGTCCTGAGTTGTTGTCGGGAAAATAATCCAAACATCACGTTTTGCCACAATTCTTTCTATTACATACTTCACAGTCCGTGAAACAGTAGGTTGGGAGACGCCGACTATTTCGGAAACCCCATTTTGGAAACCCGGGTCTGAAAAATATCGGAGACAAATCTCCATTTTCTGTTTATTTGTCAAGGCGCCTCCTCGCGTTTCACCGGAATCAGGTCCCAAAAAATGCCTGGCCATCCAGTCAACGGACGGTTCTTCAAAGCGGAACTGGGTTTTGTAGTAAAAGTCCGTTTGGGGCTGACGTCGGGTCTTGAATGTTCTAGTCGAATGTGGGGCCGGTGGTAAAAGAGGAAGTGCCCTAGAGCTCAGACTTAACACAAGCTGAGTTCAAACTTCGTCAATTAATCAATAACAAAATTAATCAATAACAAAAGACACAATCATGTCGAAAACATGCCACGAACATGATCATACAAAAGTTCAGCTTACCTTTCTATCACTGTCGGTATTGGGTTAGAATAATCTGCTAGGTAATTATTGGACATCGATATGTATTTAATAAAGTTTGAGAAATTGACGGCAAACCACAGTAAAACTACGGTGGGTTTCGGGAAACTACCGTGGATAAAAGAAAACTACAGTAAATCACGGTAAACCACTGTAAAAGGGACGTGAAATTACCTGTAGGGGACACAATATCGCACACGAAACATTCATTATAGATATCAAGAATGATTCTGAATTATCTTCGGAGTCAAGGGTGTTGTCATTTTGCCGCCATTTCAAGATTGCGATATCACAAATTCCATCACAGACATATGCGGTACGTGATGTGCGAATGTCGAATGTACTCGACACAAATTTCCCTCGAAAATGTTTATTTCACATTCCTTCGATACATCGATGTACATCCGAATTTGGGTGTTTTCCCATTAACATAAGATGGCAAACAAAAGATCTGAATTAACCTGTCGTGCTTCTTAAAATACTGATTTGAGTATTTGAGTGCTAGTTTGAGAGCATTTTAGTGAGTATTTACTTGAATGTAAGTCATACTCACGATGAATTCAGCTTGAGTATTAGTTTTTACTGGGCAGTAAATGCTCAAACTTTGTGAATACCGATTTTGAGACTCAGAAAAATCTAAGTAATTACTAGCGAGTATTTACTTAAGAAATACTTAGTTATTATGAATGACCCCTAAAGAAATAAATATTCTTGGCCAAGTGGAAAATTAAAACAATTTTAAGTAAATTAATAAAATACAAACCTCCAAAGCTGAGCGAAGCCTTTAACTCCGCCCTGGGTACAGAGCACCAAACACAATGACACTGTAATCCGGTGAGTTATTGAGTCCCTGGGACATGACTTAATATGACTTGACCGAGTTTCTGCAACAACTTCATCATCGTACGGTTCTTCAAAGATGTAATGCATATAGGATGCCAAGATTTCTTTATCAACAAATGCCCCATACGTTCCGAGTAACTTGCCAGGCAACATCGTAATATCAAACGATGGAACTTGCACAATGGGTTTTGGTGCTGTTAAAGTTCTGAAAGCGGCTGAGACATCTACTTCTATGTTATCATCAACTGAGGTTCCAAGCAAACTTATTATTGTAGCATCATTGGTTAGTAATGAGGCGAGGTAGTCCACGAAATTATACAGAATACAGAAGGAGTTACTAGTATTGGTGTATCTAATCGACCATTGAGTTGCTCGCAATGGGTCAAGTTCCCCAGATTCTGAATCGGAGATGAGATGTTCTGATAGTCCCATCCATGAGGTTGCCAATAAGAAATCTTGTACTGGATCTCTCACTGAACCAAAGGGGAGTTTTGATTTTGAAGCAGCCTTATTTTGAGAATACACATGGTCGTCACTCAAACATCCGATGAAATTGTGTAAACAAAATGTGTATCTGACTGATATGAAAGTTTGAGGAAATGGAGAGATGGAACACGGAATACTACGTTTATAAAAGCAGAGGATCTCTTTCAAAGATGAACACTGAGGAGGAGGAGATTTTAAGAGAACCATATCAAGAGTTGTCTGAAGACTGTTGCTTAGCCATATTCCTGAGTAGAACCGCTTTGAAAGTGATCCAAGCTGTATGAACATAGGAAGGTTGCACTGAGTTCTGGTTAGAGCAGATGCTAAGGAACTCATTAGTAACTTGGAGGAGTCAAGGAAATATATAGCATCATCTGCTGTTTCAGGGGAGAGTATGATGAATTCTGACAACCCATACCATCGATTTAAACAATGTGTCTTTGGAGGAAAATCTGCCTGAAAATTTGATTGTATTACAATATGCTCCTATCGATATTTTTAAGATAAGAGTAAGTAAAGTGTAGTAAACTACTAAGTACTATTTATATTATGGACATATCAAATGAATGGAGTGTAGCATAGGTCAGTTTTGTAAATTTACATCACCATATTATTATTATGGTTCACTTATTACATAAGTGGCTCACTCGGTTAATCCGCCTGTCTACTGGCCTGGAGGTTGTGAGTTCGAAACCTAGTTGGGCCAAAATCTCAAAAACTGAAGGGCAGCCGTCACTCACCAAACCATGGTGTAAATGGTAGTGGCTTTCATTAGAGCTGCGAAAATAACAAGAGTGTATATGCCTGGGGTTGCGTCCCGACTATACTGCAGGAAAATCTGTACCGAAAGGACCGTGGCCGAAATGCAATTAGACAGGGAAATCGGCTCCCCGACTGCGGTCGACCAAATTATTACATAAGCCAGCCATTGCATTGGGGGAATGGAGGGGGGTAATTTCTACACAATAGCTGTGTGAAGTGACTTACAAGTTCTAACATGGCTAAATTCTAGTATAAAAATGTGAAAAATCCGGTAAAAGAAAATTAAGCATAAATAATAGCTTACCTGCTGTAGAGACTTGAAGTCCTTTCCAACATTTAAAGTTGAGTGAGTCAAGCGAAATGATTGCCTACCATAGGTCAAGCTCTCAGTTCTACTGAATTCTGGCAGAGAATCATTGTTCCAGAATCCACCTTTGCTCAAGCCCCACTTTTCTATAACCTGCTCAACAGAATAAATGAATTCTTCAAACTCTGTAGAGTTAGTATAATCTGTTATTTCAAATACTCCTGAGGATACTCCAGCTTTACGCATGACATCAATGCTACCCTTCTTTATACTGTGACTTTCTTCATGGCGTCTGAATAGGGTTACAATTGAGGAATCAAGCAATAATTTGTAGGTTCTACACAATATGAATAACTGAAATTTATTAAATGTAACTGGCTACAGTGCAGTAAGTATTTTAATGCAAAGTTGTGGGATGTGATCTAGGAAAATGAATAACCCCAATTGTTAATAAAATAATGTATTATAATTAATAATATAATGTACAAGCATAGCAAAGTAAACGGTGTTATTGTCCAACTAAAAGTTTCATGTGGATGTATAAACGACAATCCCTGATGATATACATCCACATGAAACTTTTAGTTGGACAATAACATCGTTTACTTTGTTACGCTTATAGAAAGCTCCTATTTATCTATTAGTTGAGCACTTTGCTGAAAGGAGAAACAGACATGCTTGTAATTAATGATGTATGTGTAGTGTATTAAATAACGTCCGGAAATACTTGGAAGCTGAACTTATATTTAAACATTCAGCTTAAAATTAGAGTGAAGAGAACGCTGACAAATATTGATGTATAGTAATAATGATGATTAACCTTTTTATATTGATTCATGCCCTATCCACTATAAATGGTAACGAGAGTATTCCCAAACAAACTGGGAATATCAAAATATTAAAAAATTATAGCAGGCTATTAACCAAGTTGACAGAAAAGTCAAGGGTTTGAATCCCAGTGTCACTTACTCTAATGAAATACCTCTGTGTGAAGTAACACATCTGCACTGTGTAGTGTCTCTCTCAGTCTCTCTTCAACTCAGCCGAATGATCGCAAAACCGTGATTGACGATTTAATGAGGAGGGGGCCTTGCCAAAAAATCAAAAATATTAGCAGGGTACCCGGCGCTGATATTGTTAAGTAGGTGAACACGTTTTGGTGTGACCTTTACTTCAAATGTTCAAAAGGTCAAATCTAACCCCTTTCTACTTCATCTGAAAATGTTTGTTGGTCTAGCTCTCTTGGTTTCACTGTGAAGGATGCAGTGTAATTTGGACATAATTTTGGGTCACACAGTATATGGGCTTATTAATTTGATTAAAAATTGTCCTAACGACCCCTAATTTGCATCGGAGAGGCCGCAGTCTCGGTCTGCACAATTCCCATGGTCCGGTGATGGACACCCATGAGAACTGTAAAAAGAAAATGGACTGCCTCCATGAGTTATAGGACGTCAGTACGGGCTTCAAAATTATCCTCTAAAACAGCTTCTTAATTCAGAAGAGGCAATTTAGGGACAGAATATGGCCCAAAGATTCAAGAGATGTCATCTTTTTTGCTATGTAACTAGACATTCAACATATTAAAAGTAAATTTTATTAAACTGCCTACTACAGCTACCTACTGAATCTCACACCAGAGATGCCAGTGGTTTTGCTTCAGGCCAATCAAACCTTAGTTTTTGCAAGAAGAAAGTGTTTTGGCAACAAATAGACAATTGCAGTGTCAGGAAAGTGTGAAAATTATTGATATAAATAAAATGTTCATAAACGATAGTCAAGACGATAGTATACTAAATAAGACAATATAGAGATAATATCACAATGACCCTACATAAGAGTAAAAATTTGGGTTTTAAAAGGCCCTTAAAAAACTAAGGAACATTTATAAAAAACCAGTAAAAGTAGCCAAATGACAATCAATGCACTGGCTCTAAATTTATATCTAAATCTTTTTTTTTTTTTTTTTTTTCTTTTTTTTTTAAATATAAAATTATTCAAACAATATACACATAATATAGCAATGACCCAATATAAAAACAAACCTTTAAGAATATAAAAAACTCCCTAAACACTCAAAAATTACCCTTGGCCTTGTGGCTCCAAGTTAAGATCTAGACTGTTTATATTAACAATGTTTTTTCTCGCACCTCTGTCTCCACGGAGAGAAATCACTGTTGTTCTTAGGATTTCAAAATTTATATCTAAATCTGCTATATTAACTGCACTACCACTATTCGTCCCTCTTTCCCCTCTAAGAGCAATAATTGCTGTTCTCAATAAGTCACTTTTTTTTCTGATAAATGTTATGAAACAAGTCGAAGAAACAACTCCATCCAAAGTTAACTTTTTTTTCATTATAATTATTTGTCAAGGAGCTTAAACTTCAAAATGGACTTCGTCAAATAAATATGCAGGCCTTTTTAATTCCATTATGATTTCTATTATGTATTAAATGTAACTAAACAGTAAATTTAGTAAAGCAAAGTAAAAGAGAAACAAATTTTTAGAGAAACAAATTTGAATTTTGATCTTTATTACAGATTAAACATATCATATATAACCATAAAATGTAAAAGCCGCGCGTCGGCTGATTGCCTCAACTTGGATTGGTAGTAATTTCAGTTTACAGAAGCTGAAGGACGGCAGCTCAAAAGCCCCAGTGAATCATCGGAAAGATCAAGGACTCGAGTGCCAATAGTGGCTTTTTCGAACCCATTTTCGCCGATTTGCTGTGGCCCAGATGAGCCGCGCCCTGCTGCTTAACGGCACATAATGGTTTTTGTTTAAATACTTATTTAAATTTAAGCGATAATTCATTTGGTGGTTTACAGTTTTTGAATCATGTTCATCATTTATTTTTCGTTAATTATCACGTGTTTACAATTCAGTCATACCATGCATAGTCAACATTGTTGAGGCAACCAGCTTCCGCAGTTCAATAATTGGAGACCGAAATTTACAATTCATCGTTATCAAATATAGTCAATAATATTCTTGATTCCATTTAGTACATAATAAGTTGGTTTTATTCGAAATTTACAATTCATCGTTATCAAATATAGTCAATAATATTCTTGATTCCATTTAGTACATAATAAGTTGGTTTTATTTTCTTGCAACACTACTGCACAACAAAAAAAAGCAATAAATTAATTAATATATGATTTTTGTCCTCAATATGATTGATAAATTCATATCAAAGTTTAAAAATTAAAATATCAAATATTGACATCATAATGATATAATTAAAAACATTTTATTTTATTTTGATGATTTGACGCGTTTTTTAATAATTTAATTGGCGTGACCTTGTGCGCGCTCTAGGGTAAACGTTAAATACTAGTGGAGCCGCGGCAAAGTACTAAAATGCGCGGGCAATTCTAAAATTTATAATGTTGCCGCGCCTCACGTCTTGTATTATTAGACAACAACATCAAATTCACTGTCCATATTTTGTAACAAAATCTAAAATTTCATAATACATGGTGTTGTATATGTTTTAATATCACTATAACTAAAGCGAACAAGCTTTTTATTTTACAACAATATCACTCGGTCTCCTTGTCACTGTAACACTTTGAAAGAAACACGAAGATTGAACAGCGAGACAGAGAATGGACAGTGAGACAGAAATTGAACAGTCAGACAGGGAATGAACACCGAGAAAGATTGATAGGTAAGACAGGGAATTGACTCTAAAATAGAGAATGAACACTGATGCAGAGATTGAATAATGAGACGGAGAATTAACGTCGAGACAGGAATGAACAGTGATTTAATAGTTAAACAAAGAATGATCACTGAGAAAGAGATTGAATAGTTAAACAAATAATGAACGTCGAGACAGATTGAATAGTGAGACGGAGAATGAACATCGAGACAGAGAATGAACATTGAGACAGATTGAATAGTGAGACGGAGAATGAACGTCGAGACAGAGAATGAACATTGAGACAGATTGAATAGTGAGACGGAGAATGAACGTCGAGACAGAGAATGAACATTGAGACAGATTAAATAGTCAGACGGAGAATAAATGTCGAGAAGTCGAGACAGAGAATGAACGCTGAGACAAAGATTGAATAGTTAAACAAGAAAATGAACACTGAGACAGAGATTGAATAGTTAAACAGAGAATGAACGTTGAGACCGATTGAATAGTGAGATGGAGACAGATCGAATAGTTAGACGGAGAATATCATAATATGGTTAGTTTAATATCTAATATCTAAAATGATTGCACGGCTTTTAAAGTAATATATTATCAAACATTATCTTATCTATGTTATCTAATTTAGTTTCTTTTGTAAATATAGGATGCCACATCATTGACGGTATCTGACAGTTTCTTATATAATAATGCACGGACATCATCGTCCATCACGTCAAACTCAGGATCATTAACGAAGGAAGTTATTCTGTTTGAAAGCTCCCGCCAATCTCCTTTATAGTCTATGTCCCGTTTCTTCTTTCTTTTATCCCCATTTCCTCCAACCTCATCATCTTCTACTTCTTCATCCTCGTCTTCTGATGCTGGATAATCGCAGCATTTATTTACATCTGCATCAGCTGGCCATATCCCAATATCACTTCCTGCAAAAATAATATCGGATTTTATATTTTGACTATTATAAGAATTGGAAGCAAAGCAATAGGGAAAACCTGGCAAACCCTGCGGAGATGTGATTTATGAGCCTGATGGCAGAGAGTGATAACCCACTTTAACAGACAAAATTATCTTTGTCTTTCCAACCCTGATAACAACCAGGGTCCACACGGATACCTCGCCTCGGAGGTCGAAGTAATGCCCTGCCTTTGATATTGATAATAATATTTACTGTTGGAAACTTCATATTTTCTCTACTAGCAGGCTCCACACCTCCTACATCGACGCGGACGCACTGCCATAGCACATGAACGAGTTATGAACCTCAATTTTGTCTTGTCTATTCAAATTGGAATGTAAACATGCATACAGATCAATTTAACAGACCTTTATCTTTTACGAAGAACAGTATGTTTCTGTAATCTTCAGGTAGGTCCTCCCATTGCATTTCATTAAACCATCATCAATAGCTTGAAAAATATGTCTGCAGGTGCAAGTTGGTTCTCTGATGTTCAGTTGGTGGGGCTCAGACCGGTGAGAGGATTTCACATAGAATACTCCATCAACGACCTTGCACACTTTGCTTGACCGTTTACCTTCTAAAATTACTGGCTGTTGTTCAAAAAATCAAACCAAGAGAGAACACATAATATTTTGTCGCTTTATAATTCAAATTATTACAAAAAAATACTCGATTCTCCAGAAATTTGCCTTGCACATATTATGTAGTGATATAGCACCAAGTTAGTGTCGTCGTTTTAAGCGGGTTTGAAACTTTTAACTCACCCTTATCGTATTTCAGTCGAAGTTTTCTCTTCTTTTTCCACCAATCCCAGAGAAGTTTGAGTGGAAGAGTAATTAATGAGGGAAACGTAGAGTAACACTGATGAAGACAGAGAGTTACCACTAAATGGGAGAGTAACTACTGAGCATGAGGGAAATGTAGAGTATCACTGACGAAGACAGAGAGTTAATACTGAGTGGGAGAATAACTTCTGAAGGAAATGTCTAGAGTAACACTGATGAAGATAGAGAGTTAACACTGATTGGGAGAATAACTACTGAGGGAAAGACAGAGAAGTTAACAGAGAGTTAACTCTCAGTGTGAGAGTAACTACTGAGTACTGAGGGAAATGTAGAATAACACTGATGAAGACAGAGAGTTAATACTGAGTGGGAGAGTAGCTACTGAGGGAAATATAGAATAACACTGACGAAGACAGAGAGTTAATACTTAGTGGGAGAATAACTACTAAGCATGAGGGAAATGTAGAGTATCACTGACAAAGACAGAGAGTTAATACTGAGTGAGGGAATAACTTCTGAAGGAAATGTCTAGAGTAACACTGATGAAGATAGAGAGTTAACACTGATTGGGAGAATAACTACTGAGGGAAAGACAGAGAAGTTAACAGAGAGTTAACTCTCAGTGTGAGAGTAACTACTGAGTACTGAGGGAAATGTAGAATAACACTGATGAAGACAGAGAGTTAATACTGAGTGGAAGAGTAGCTACTGAGGGAAATATATAGTAACACTGACGAAGACAGAGAGTTAATACTGAGTGGGAGAATAACTACTGAGGGAAATGTAGAGTAATACTGACGAAGACAGAGAGTTAATACTGAGTGGGAGAATAACTACTGAGCAAAATATAGAGTAACACTGACAAAGACAGAGAGTTAACTCTCAGTGTGATAGTAACTACTGAGGGAAATATAGAGTAACACTGACGAAGACAGAGAGTTAATACTGAGTGGGAGAATAACTAAGATGAGAGAAATGTAGAGTAACACTGATGACGACAGAGAGTTAAAACTGAGTGAAAGAGTAACTACTGAGAGAAATGTAGAGTTACACTGATAGAGACAGAGAGTTAACTCTCAGTGTGAGAGTAACTATACTGAGGGAAATGTAGAATAACACTGATGAAGACAGAGAGTTAATACTGAGTGGGAGAGTAGCTACTGAGGGAAATATAATAGAGTAACACTCACGAAGACAGAGAGTTAATACTGAGTCGAGTGGGAGATTAACTTCTGAAGGAAATGTCTAGAGTAACACTGATGAAGATAGAGAGTTAACACTGATTGGGAGAATAACTACTGAGGGAAATATAGAGTAACACTGACGAAGACAGAGAGTTAATACTGAGTGGAAGAATAACTGCTGAGAGAAATGTAGAGTAACACTGATGAAGACAGAGAGCTAGAATTAATACTGCGTGGGAGAATAACTACTGAGAGAAATGTAGAGTAACACTGATGAAGACAGAGAGTTGATACTGAGTGGGAGAATAATTACTGAGAGAAATGTAGAGTAATACTGACGAAGACAGAGAGTTAATACTGAGTGGGAGAATAACTACTGAGCGAAATATAGAGTAACACTGACGAAGACAGAGAGTTAACTCTCAGTGTGAGAGTAACTACTGAGGGAAATGTAGAATAACACTGATGAAGACAGAGAGTTAATACTGAGTGGGAGAGTAGCTACTGAGGGAAATATAATAGAGTAACACTCACGAAGACAGAGAGTTAATACTGAGTCGAGTGGGAGATTAACTTCTGAAGGAAATGTCTAGAGTAACACTGATGAAGATAGAGAGTTAACACTGATTGGGAGAATAACTACTGAGGGAAATATAGAGTAACACTGACGAAGACAGAGAGCTAGAGTTAATACTGAGTGGAAGAATAACTGCTGAGAGAAATGTAGAGTAACACTGATGAAGACAGAGAGCTAGAGTTAATACTGAGTGGGAGAATAACTACTGAGAGAAATGTAGAGTAACACTGATGAAGACAGAGAGTTGATACTGAGAGGGAGAATAATTACTGAGAGAAATGTAGAGTAATACTGACGAAGACAGAGAGTTAATACTGAGTGGGAGAATAACTACTGAGCGAAATATAGAGTAACACTGACGAAGACAGAGAGTTAACTCTCAGTGTGAGAGTAACTACTGAGGGAAATGTAGAATAACACTGATGAAGACAGAGAGTTAATACTGAGTGGGAGAGTAGCTACTGAGGGAAATATAGAGTAACACTGACGAAGACAGAGAGTTAATACTGAGTGGGAGAATAACTAAGATGAGAGAAATGTAGAGTAACACTGATGACGACAGAGAGTTAAAACTGAGTGAAAGAGTAACTACTGAGAGAAATGTAGAGTTACACTGATAGAGACAGAGAGTTAACTCTCAGTGTGAGAGTAACTATACTGAGGGAAATGTAGAATAACACTGATGAAGACAGAGAGTTAATACTGAGTGGGAGAGTAGCTACTGAGGGAAATATAATAGAGTAACACTCACGAAGACAGAGAGTTAATACTGAGTCGAGTGGGAGATTAACTTCTGAAGGAAATGTCTAGAGTAACACTGATGAAGATAGAGAGTTAACACTGATTGGGAGAATAACTACTGAGGGAAATATAGAGTAACACTGACGAAGACAGAGAGTTAATACTGAGTGGAAGAATAACTGCTGAGAGAAATGTAGAGTAACACTGATGAAGACAGAGAGCTAGAATTAATACTGCGTGGGAGAATAACTACTGAGAGAAATGTAGAGTAACACTGATGAAGACAGAGAGTTGATACTGAGTGGGAGAATAATTACTGAGAGAAATGTAGAGTAATACTGACGAAGACAGAGAGTTAATACTGAGTGGGAGAATAACTACTGAGGGAAATGTAGAATAACACTGATGAAGACAGAGAGTTAATACTGAGTGGGAGAGTAGCTACTGAGGGAAATATAATAGAGTAACACTCACGAAGACAGAGAGTTAATACTGAGTCGAGTGGGAGATTAACTTCTGAAGGAAATGTCTAGAGTAACACTGATGAAGATAGAGAGTTAACACTGATTGGGAGAATAACTACTGAGGGAAATATAGAGTAACACTGACGAAGACAGAGAGCTAGAGTTAATACTGAGTGGAAGAATAACTGCTGAGAGAAATGTAGAGTAACACTGATGAAGACAGAGAGCTAGAGTTAATACTGAGTGGGAGAATAACTACTGAGAGAAATGTAGAGTAACACTAATGAAGACAGAGAGTTGATACTGAGAGGGAGAATAATTACTGAGAGAAATGTAGAGTAATACTGACGAAGACAGAGAGTTAATACTGAGTGGGAGAATAACTACTGAGCGAAATATAGAGTAACACTGACGAAGACAGAGAGTTAACTCTCAGTGTGAGAGTAACTACTGAGGGAAATGTAGAATAACACTGATGAAGACAGAGAGTTAATACTGAGTGGGAGAGTAGCTACTGAGGGAAATATAGAGTAACACTGACGAAGACAGAGAGTTAATACTGAGTGGGAGAATAACTTCTGAACGAAATGTCTAGAGTAACACTGATGAAGATAGAGAGTTAACACTGATTGGGAGAATAACTACTGAGGGAAATATAGAGTAACACTGACGAAGACAGAGAGTTAATACTGAGTGGAAGAATAACTGCTGAGAGAAATGTAGAGTAACACTGATGAAGACAGAGAGTTGATACTGAGTGGGAGAATAATTACTGAGAGAAATGTAGAGTAATACTGACGAAGACAGAGAGTTAATACTGAGTGGGAGAATAACTACTGAGGGAAATATAGAGTAACACTGACGAAGACAGAGAGTTAACTCTCAGTGTGAGAGTAACTACTGAGGGAAATGTAGAATAACACTGATGAAGACAGAGAGTTAATACTGAGTGGGAGAGTAGCTACTGAGGGAAATATAATAGAGTAACACTCACGAAGACAGAGAGTTAATACTGAGTCGAGTGGGAGATTAACTTCTGAAGGAAATGTCTAGAGTAACACTGATGAAGATAGAGAGTTAACACTGATTGGGAGAATAACTACTGAGGGAAATATAGAGTAACACTGACGAAGACAGAGAGCTAGAGTTAATACTGAGTGGAAGAATAACTGCTGAGAGAAATGTAGAGTAACACTGATGAAGACAGAGAGCTAGAGTTAATACTGAGTGGGAGAATAACTACTGAGAGAAATGTAGAGTAACACTGATGAAGACAGAGAGTTGATACTGAGTGGGAGAATAATTACTGAGAGAAATGTAGAGTAATACTGACGAAGACAGAGAGTTAATACTGAGTGGGAGAATAACTACTGAGCGAAATATAGAGTAACACTGACGAAGACAGAGAGTTAACTCTCAGTGTGAGAGTAACTACTGAGGGAAATGTAGAATAACACTGATGAAGACAGAGAGTTAATACTGAGTGGGAGAGTAGCTACTGAGGGAAATATAGAGTAACACTGACGAAGACAAAGAGTTAATACTGAGTGGGAGAATAACTTCTGAACGAAATGTCTAGAGTAACACTGATGAAGATAGAGAGTTAACACTGATTGGGAGAATAACTACTGAGGGAAATATAGAGTAACACTGATGAAGACAGAGAGTTAATACTGAGTGGAAGAATAACTGCAGAGAGAAATGTAGAGTAACACTGATGAAGACAGAGAGTTAATACTGAGTGGAAGAGTAACTACTGAGAGAAATGTAGAGTAACACTGATGAAGACAGAGAGTGAACAATGAGTAGGGGGACATAAAATATGAAGTGCATGATAGTTGAATTACTCACACTGTAACTTTGATGTTATTCGATGAACCAACAAATCTCACATAGGCACAGAATTTAGTGATCGTTACATCGTTTGCAACACCAATAAAAACCTGAAAAATGGAAGTAATGATGTACTATTATCTCTACTATAGTTCAGAGAATTGTTTCTGTCTGTACGACCGCCCACGTGCAAATTAGATGAGAAATAGGAAGTTGCATAGTAACCATGGTAACGAAGATTGTTGTTCCCACGTGCACGTGCAAGGATTTGAGAGAGGCATTTTGATCGGTTTTTGTTATTACGTGGTGTTAAGTGGAGCTATATTTTAATTGGCTGTATCTTCGGTTGTGATGAATATTTTTTTGATGCGATAGAAACTGACTACCAAAGAATAGTATTAGCTTCCTCCCTGTGACCACGGGTTTTCTAGTATAATTATGTAGGGGACAAGGTTACAACGAAACAGAACATCTTACAATCATCAAAAAGCGAAGATTTTATATCAAGATTAATATACAATGTAATATATTATATTTTATATAATATATTGATATTATATAAAGGATCATAGCAAGTATGTTGAACCTGATCATAACAATTTGAGGTTTCAATACTTACGTCTCACATACCTAAAGCCAGTCAATATCTGTTTCAATGTTTCTATCATGGCAGTCCAGAGTAACTATAGCTGTATTCGCATCAATGAGGCAGAAGGAAGTCACTGACGAAACGTATGCATTCAGCATTGCACAACTTGCAATGCACCTATTATGTTGGTAACCGTTGATGCTGTCTGCCAATTCATCACAGCAGATGAAAAAGCACTCGAAACAACAACCATGTAGCTCTTTCAAATTCAAGCTGTATAACTATAGTCTATAATGCATATTATAATATGATCTACTGATGCAGGCGAAGCTAGGTCAGGAACGCAGCAATGTGAAGTGTGAACCGACGAAACCGGAAACAGGTAACCAAAGATCTCTGAATTCTCTGGTCCATTATTCAGTTCTGATGTTTCACACACACATACCTAAAATGAAGTAAATGTTATGAACGGCTATTTTTAAAAGAATACTAGAACTTGTATTATTTTTCTTCCCAATATAAAGATATACCAGTAGTTTGGCTGTTCAATATATTTTCATATTATATAAGATAACTGTATCGAGTGTACTTCTATATAACAAGAATCAGCTCTACAAAAGAGAATTGGAGTTGCTAAAAAATAGCAAAAAAAACAAATACATCTAAGTTGAGGTCAAACACAATGAAAAGTTTTCCAATGTGAAATTAATAGAGGTAGGGTGCTGGGAGAGCTGCATAGAGTCCACTAGTATTTAATATTAGCCTGTACTGGCTCAATAAAATGTGACCTCCAGATCAGTAAAATTAGGGGCGCTGGGAGAGCTGCATAGAGTCCACTAGTATTTAATATTAGCCTGTACTGGCTCAATAAAATGTGACCTCCAGATCAGTAAAATTAGGGGTGCTGGGAGAGCTGCATAGAGTCCACTAGTATTTAATATTAGCCTGTACTGGCTCAATAAAATGTGACCTCCAGATCAGTAAAATTAGGGGTGCTGGGAGAGCTGCATAGAGTCCACTAGTATTTAATATTAGCCTGTACTGGCTCAATAAAATGTGACCTCCAGATCAGTAAAATTAGGGGTGCTGGGAGAGCTGCATAGAGTCCACTAGTATTTAATATTAGCCTGTACTGGCTCAATAAAATGTGACCTCCAGATCAGTAAAATTAGGGGTGCTGGGAGAGCTGCATAGAGTCCACTAGTATTTAATATTAGCCTGTACTGGCTCAATAAAATGTGACCTCCAGATCAGTAAAATTAGGGGTGCTGGGAGAGCTGCATAGAGTCCACTAGTATTTAATATTAGCCTGTACTGGCTCAATAAAATGTGACCTCCAGATCAGTAAAATTAGGGGTGCTGGGAGAGCTGCATAGAGTCCACTAGTATTTAATATTAGCCTGTACTGGCTCAATAAAATGTGACCTCCAGATCAGTAAAATTAGGGGCGCTGGGAGAGCTGCATAGAGTCCACTAGTATTTAATATTAGCCTGTACTGGCTCAATAAAATGTGACCTCCAGATCAGTAAAATTAGGGGTGCTGGGAGAGCTGCATAGAGTCCACTAGTATTTAATATTAGCCTGTACTGGCTCAATAAAATGTGACCTCCAGATCAGTAAAATTAGGGGTGCTGGGAGAGCTGCATAGAGTCCACTAGTATTTAATATTAGCCTGTACTGGTTCAATAAAATGTGACCTCCAGATCAGTAAAATTAGGGGTGCTGGGAGAGCTGCATAGAGTCCACTAGTATTTAATATTAGCCTGTACTGGCTCAATAAAATGTGACCTCCAGATCAGTAAAATTAGGGGCGCTGGGAGAGCTGCATAGAGTCCACTAGTATTTAATATTAGCCTGTACTGGCTCAATAAAATGTGACCTCCAGATCAGTAAAATTAGGGGTGCTGGGAGAGCTGCATAGAGTCCACTAGTATTTAATATTAGCCTGTACTGGCTCAATAAAATGTGACCTCCAGATCAGTAAAATTAGGGGCGCTGGGAGAGCTGCATAGAGTCCACTAGTATTTAATATTAGCCTGTACTGGCTCAATAAAATGTGACCTCCAGATCAGTAAAATTAGGGGTGCTGGGAGAGCTGCATAGAGTCCACTAGTATTTAATATTAGCCTGTACTGGCTCAATAAAATGTGACCTCCAGATCAGTAAAATTAGGGGTGCTGGGAGAGCTGCATAGAGTCCACTAGTATTTAATATTAGCCGCGCTCTAGGAGCTAAACTGTACACATGCTGTCCATTATTAGCATAATTTTTTTTACTTGCTGCAATTTTGTTACGCAATTTCGAGAAAGCTGCACTGAAAACGTAGCAAAATAAAAATGCGCGGCGCGTCAAATTGACAACGTTTTCCAAAATACAAGATACGCTGTTAAGTTGTTGGGAGCATGTTGAGCTGTTTATTCAAAATCATTTAATAACGGGTGCTGGGGCGAAATTGGCGCCACCCTCTTTTCTTTAAAGCTTACAATACATTTTTATAGTTGCCTTGAAAACACTAAAAAACAACGGTTTGACAAGAAAAGAGGGGCAGGAATTTTACCAATCACGGATAACCGTAAAGTCCCCCAGATGCTTTGTTTAATCCGGAAATTTAATGGACACCTTCGCAACGGACTAGTTTTCAGTAAATGAGTCTAAAAGGACAAAACATTTGCAGACATTAGCTGACATGTCTTATTAATTTTTTACATTAATGCTGTCTAGGATTTTTTCGCTATTGATATTCGGATGCTGTGGGATATAATATTAGGAAGCGCCTTCGTTTCGAAATCTTGAGAAAAACGGTGATTTCTTTTCGGGGAGACAGAGGGGCGAGAAAGAACTTTTTCAATATAGACAGTTTAGATTTAAACTTGGAGCCACAAGGCCAAGGATGATTTTCAAAATATTGAGTTTTTGAAGGGTTATTTTTATTTAGGGTCATTGTGAAATTATATTATTGAAATTATATTATTACGTGTATAGTGTTTGAAATTTTTTTACAGAAAAGAAAATTTTGAGATAGGGAATTTTAGGGGTGGGTATGTATCTTTTCGCCACAATTCATTGAGGGATATGTTAGCAGAGCTTTTAGAAACTGCTGGCTGTAAAGACGTTAGGAAAACAAATTTTAGGAAAACAAATTTAAATTTTGGTATTTATTAATAACAATCAAAACATATCACATCATAAAAATAAAGCCGCGCGTTGGTTGACTGCCTCAGTAATGTGAATATTATAAGCTCGAAGGTGCCCTGCGCATTTACAGAACCTCATGCGGCGATCAGTGATCACATGATCATGAGGACCTGTGAGCGCCAAATTTACCACTGAACTTCTCCTTAACCCTGTCAAAGTGTCAATGGGAGAGAACTTCCTGCAGGGGCCAACAAAGCAGATGGAGCTAGGTTAGATGTTAGTGCTAGGAGAAGGAGATCAGTTTGGAATGCGCTGGAAAGAGCATTTTTTGATGTAAGAGTGTTTCACGCTCCTGCTCCAACCAACGCAGCTAAACCAATTCCTATGATGTAATTGGCTCACGAGACTGAGAAGAAAAGAGCACCTTTAGTTTTCTCCACAACAGGAGGCATGAGAGCTTGATTAAAAAGCTTGCACAAAAGATGGAATCTCCAACGGGTCAGCGATATTCAGACTCAGTTACATATCTTGGAAAGCGCTTGCGCTTTGAGGTATTAAAGACAACAGTTATTTCGATAAGGGGGGACAGAGGGCCCAAGTTGCGACTTAAACCAGATAATATTGAAGATTTAGATTGAAATATTGAGCCCTTTGGCTACTTTCTTAGATATTTTGGACAGTTTTTAATATTGGTAATGTTAATGAATTGTAATTGATTGATATGTAATATTTGGGCCGTGGCCAGTTTTCACTTTTATGGATCCCATTGGAAAGGGCATTTTTAGTGTAAGAGTATTTCATGCTCAAGCTCCTTCCAATAAGGCTCTTGGATCTCCAATGAGTATGTACACTAGCCATGAGAGACAGAAGAAAAACATGTACAACAAAAGGATTGTCGAAGTAGAACATGGAACATGTACACCAATAGTCCTATCAACAACAGGTGGAATGGGAAAAGGAGCAAATACTTTAAAAAAAAAGTTAGCTGATAGAATGTTTAGAAAATCAGGACAAAGATACAGTGAGGCAATGACATTTATCAGGAAAAGAATAAGATTTGACTTATTGAGAACAACAATAATAGCTCTTAGAGGAGAAAGAGGGATAAAAAGTGGTAGCGCTGTTAAAATATCAGAACTAGATATAAATTTAGAGCCAACAAATTGAACTGGCTACTTCTACTACTTAAAGGGTTTTTATAAAATTTACTAAGATTTTTCATTTCATATTGAATTTTTATATAGGGTCAATGCTATATTATGTGTATATTGTTTACATTTTTCTCTTAAGACGAATTTTCGAGTAGTATATATATGGACACGTTCATTTGAGTTTGAGGAAATTGGTAAATATAAGTGACCCTATTAAAAGGCACAGTGTAGTTGACTTTGTCACACTATGAAATTACTTAAACCCTTGATGGTTAGGATAATCGTCTCATCCTCCAGGCTAACTTTGTCACATAACGATATCTTAATCAGGTGATAAGATATCGCTTAAATACGGCCGGCACGGAAATGGTTACATTGTCACACTATAAACATGTGACGGAGTAAATATGGACCCCTTGCTGCCGTTTTTGACCAAATTTTTGAGTGTCCAGTTGATTGGATGGGTACATATGACCATTACCTACATATTTGACGACTTTTTTCGTTAGATGGTGCATTCAGGTTTACTCTGTCACACATTAAAGAAAATATGTGATGAATGTTTAGGGCACCCTGATAAGCAATGCTGAGTAGTGTCAGTTTATTTGATGGCCTGGAAGTGCTGGGAATTGTTATTATATTATATAGTCGTAAGGAATTAAAACACAGAAGGCACAACCAAGCTTACTTTGTCACATAATCTTGATGATATCTGAACATGTGTGAAATTGAACAAATAATGATATACCAGCTTAAACCCCTTATATTATACGTACTATGGATCAAACAACACTGCTAGTACCATGCACC